GTGTTTTTTCAAATTAATAGTAAAATGTTTCTGATCTACAGACAATTTCAGGACTGTTCTCTTCTGTTTAATGGCTCGCATGAAAGGCGATTGTGCTGTTGTGTGATACGAAAAAAGCTGACAATCTTTTTGGGTTCACACAGGTTTGGTTTACAGTCGATCGAGATATTTGTTCAGAGAAAAGTTTGACAAAGATTTTCAGAGGTGGTGAGCTATATTATTGGTTTATTTTGAATATATCTTAAAATATTGAAAGTAATTAGATCAAATACTCAGCTATTGTAAACTTACAACAAAATATCTACAGTGATGTTAGCGAAGTGGTTTTTTGTCCAGTGCCTTTAAGCCTTGATTATACACTGACCTGAGGGGTTTGAGCACAGTCTCTTTGGCGTGAGAACAGCTGGATAAAACAGTATGTGAGGTGGAGGAAACAATTCATAGGCATTGAAATACTGTAGGTGACGCCGCGTCAACTGTCAGACTGTTCCTCATGTGTCTTAAAGATGTTACATTATATTTTATTGATTTACTTTACATTTATGATTTGCTTTTTAATTGACAAGGTATTGTCCAAGCAGACCACAAGTATTTTGTCTCTGTAAAACATTTTATAGCAATCATTGACATAAATGCTTAGGGCATCTTTTTGGGTATTGTTTGTGTTGTGGAAATACATGCCAAATGTTTTAAAGTAAGGCGAGCGGATTTGAGCAATTCTCATTTTCTCCATCAAAGTGTAGGGTGAGAAATGTCGATATCACACATAACTTAAGTTATGTACATGATATCGGAGAATTGGATCAAAAACAACCAGTTAAATACATATAATTATTACTAGCTTTATTTAGGGGCACCAGGGGAATAACTCCCAATGTTGGTCGTGCATATGACGTCACATTATCATCTTAATTGTCTCATTTATGATTAAGTAATCTCATTGTGTCCTTTTCAGTATTTAATTAGCTAATTAGTCCAATTCTCTTCATTAGAATCTGAAGGTAGTGTAGGCCTTTTACAAAATAGTGAACCAATTTCTGGAGTTAAAAGTACACATGTCACTTCAGACCACGATGGTTTTGTTGATTTAATGAAGTATACACAATTACAGCTGATATGAAATATGCAAATTGTCAAGAATAACATGAAGGAAACGTCTGTTCTTTCAAGATACATTGTAAAATGCTAGTCTAATGTGAGCTTAGCAAGGCCTTTGTCTATGGAATGGATTTGGATAGGCTGGAGGATCTGCATGGTTCAGCCTTGGTAAGAGAAGTATTCTTTGAGTGTAGGTTTTTAATAAAGCCAACAACTGTGAGTAGCAAGAGAGCAGATCATACAACCAGAATCAGCTTTGTGTGAATAGCTGTCCTTGGGTCTTGATGGTGTTGGATGGAGGCTTCTAGTCCACGAGGGGCTGGACCATGCGCAGCATCATGTGGCTGAACCAAGTCCTCCCAGGACCCACAGTCTAGGTGCCAAAACTCAGCAACTTCTTCAGGTTGAAGCTGGAGGCTATGTTTTGTGTTTTTAAAGGGTTGTGGAAGTCCTCTCAAACGTGGAGTGAGGTTTGAGGCCATCTAAGAGCCCAAAGCCCACTGGTGCCTGAGCCAGAGCCCGGGCAGAGCCTGGGAGTTATGGTCACTCCGTGGTTCCAAAGCAGACTGGTTTGTCTTCTCTGTGGGTCCTTGTAAGTCTTCACATCTGGTAGGATTCGTTGGGGAAGGTGTGCATGGCACTTATCTTAAGACCTTTCTTAACCCACAATAAAACCTGAACCACAATGATTTTACACACAGGTGGAGACAGAAGTTTATAATATGTCTCAAAATACAACAAAAATGTCTTTGATTGAGGAGAGGTAATTTTAATTTCTCCTACACAAGAGACAACTTTGAGGCCACAGGTTACAAGCACATACTTTTATCGAGTTGAGTAAAGCATTTACTTTGCATCTGTGGTTCTGTATGTGTGAGCTATAACCCAAATAAATGTGTACTTAAACACAGAACGGAACAAAAGTGGTCAGACACTGAATTATATCTTGAACAATGCGGTAAAACATGCCATGGTTGTGTGGAATACGACCTGTATATTTTGTGCTGTTATATCTGTATTACTGCTAATCCTTACCTGAAGAACTGAATGTATTTGTTCTGACCCACATTGTTACTTTACAATCTACTGTATGTCTTAAGCATGCATCATTATCATCTCAAGGGATGATGTCTCAAATCATATAAAAAGCTTTGTCTCCTTTTGTTAAATCTGGAAGGACTCAAAAATAAACCATGTTACAGGTGCAATCACTGCTACTTTGTCTCAACAGTAGCATTGGCTGATAAAACGGATATTTCAACAGACTCTCCAAATGAGTTGTAAAACAGCGGCAGTACTTTCAAAACGCTGCAGCTCATGACTAGAACCCAGAAGTCCAGTTCTCAGGTCTCTGCACTGGCTTCCTGAAGCTCAGAGAACAGACTTTTTAAGCAGCTCTGCTTGTGTTAGTACCATAGGAACCAATCCAGTCTAAGGAGCACAGGGACTGGTCTCCTCTTGGACCTCGGAGTCAGTAGTAATCATGGGGTGTCAGCGTATCTGACAGTCTGCCTGAAAATGTGAGACAGGCTTTTACTACAATATTCAAATCCAGGTTTAAAACAGCTCTGTTTAGCTGTGCATACAACTGAAGGATTGTACTGTATCTATCTGTTATAATTTCTGATGGAAATGACTGGGATGACTTTTTTTTTTCTTTTCTTGGTTTGTGAAGCACTTTGGGAACTTTCCTAGTTTATATTGAAACAAAACATTCAAATTGATTTGTTCTAAACTTTCAAAATACTTGCACATATAATAAATCCATACTGCCCCACGTTTTTTTATATGATGAAAGGTGAACATATCTAATCTCCAGTCTTTATATGAAGCTTCTTGAAAAGAGTTGAGTGGCAGAGTGTGTAAAAAAACAGCTTGCACAATCCGTCACCCGCTGCTCACATATTAGGACTTTTGAATGAATAAAATTAGCGGCAAGACGCAGACACCAAATCCTTTCTTTTGTGATTAAAAATAGTCAAACAGATTCTTTGCCTTTTTTATTCGAAGTGATGTTGAAAAAGAGGTGCTTGGCTTGTCCATTCATTCAGCCCGTTTCTCCGTCTGTCTTTGGTTGCATAAAGATTAACTGTGATTAAAAAAGAGAAAAAAATGAAAGCGTCCAGACACAAGAGGCAAAAGAAGACTAATCATATTTCCTTTCTTGAGTCATTTTCTCAGAGAATTTCTTGGTAATAATGGGTATTTGTAAGTGGCTGGGTCGGCTCTAATTACAGTCAATGGAGGCCCTACATTTTTTGCCCGCTTGCAGCTTGAAGTCCGTTTGGTGAGCTGTGCTCTGCTGTTCTCTTAAACGCTGGCTTGATTGACACAGCTGCGGGGAGTTGATTAAGACAGGCTGAGTAAGGCGTGGTCAAGCCTGGTGTGATAACGTAGGTAGTCTACCATCCTGAACCTCCGCTTCAGCTGCATGTTTGTGCCATTTCATTCTTTGTTTTAGTAAAAAACACGAACATTTGGAAATATATTTAAAAAATCCATTTTAATGTTAACACTTCCACTTCTATCCAGTGCCACTTCAAAAGCTTCTGATTTTAATTAAAATCAAGCCTAAAAAGAGGGATGGCAAAAATAAGGAACTGAGACATGATAAGCCAAGTCTGACATGACGAGCCATAATTAGATATACACAAGTCTAATAACACTGAAGCGGGAATGAGAGGCACAGAGCTGTCCGTGGTGCTGAGACCTCATCTCTGATGCTTTGTGAAGTCAGAGAAGAATAAGAGGCATTAGTGTTGCCTTCCCCACAAAGGTGTCTCTCATTAGAGGTGACCTCATGCCATTATGTCATTGCTGTTAACAGGGCCCAGCAATTTTGATTCGCAGAAGCAGAAGCAGAAGCAGGAGCAGGAGCAGGAGCAGACTTAATAGATATCTATGTGATAAAACATGGCTTGGCTGCTTGTTTTCAATGTTGTTCTGTTAGTGTCAATCCTTATACCAATAGGTTTCAGAGTGATAAAACATGACGACTGTTGCCATAGTGATTGACAATTATCTAATCTTTTGTATTTTTTTTCCTCCTAATTGTGTTCTCTTTTTTTCTCTCCCTGCTTCTGGGACACCTGTTGATGTGGGATCCAGTCACATGTAAGTAGATGTTTAAGACAAGATACAGCCATCTTACACATTATCCATGATTTAAACTGAATGCAATTTACTGATTGCAATACACCTGAATTTCTCTATCTATCTATATCTATGTGGGGCCTCTTATTAATGCATTCATATTTAACCAATGATGCCAATGGTATGTTATCAATAATTCTATTACCGTTAATAATATGTTATTTATCTTAAAATACTAAATATATTTATTACACAGTATTGCGTGGCAATGAAAGCAGCTCCTAAACAAACTCTTCAGAAATAGAACTATACCAAGAATATCATCACAACATAAACAGTTGTACTAAAGTGCTGAAACACATTCTTGAACTAGTTTGGCTCTACTGATGGATCAGCTGATTGTTGTCAGTAACAAACCAATGAGCATCTATCTGGATATCATCTCTAAAAGCTAACTTTGAAAGAGAGCAGTGTTTAATTACCTCCTGTCATATTTAGAAAATAAATATTGCCTAGTGAAAGAGTCATCTACAAAAACATGGAGACGATAGTTGAATGATAAGACTGGTCTGAGTCTAAGTCCGAGTAAAATATATTAGAGCAAAACGGATTCACACATTTTTACATGCTTTTATAGTTTAGTGTTGCATAATATAAATTAACAGGGCTGATCAGAGTCAAATTTAATGAATCAGTTTTAGTTCAGACAAATCCAACATGTTTTTGGTCATACAACCTGGTCACAGCAACACAAGAATACAAAGCACTCTATCATTAACTGTCACTACATTTGTGCGCAGGTTATTTCCATGGAGCGGTCAGGCAGCCACATCTTTCAGCTAACTGGACCAGGAGCTGACCGTGATCCCAGAGGTCTCTTCACTATTGACATTCACACAGGAGACGTGTCAGTCAGCCGCTCACTGGACCGAGAGGCCATCGACTCCTACCAGGTCAGAACAACAGCCTTTGTCTTCACCTGTCTGTTAGTGTATCTCTGAGTCCAAACCCCGCCTCTCTGACCACTGTCTCTTCACTCGACTTGGAGCAGGGAGAGGAATTAATACAAACACAAATTTATAGCATGTTTTTGGGAAGGATATTTATCAGTTTCAAGATAAGTTCCTCTGTGACTTCTATGTGGCGCCCTTAAAACCTAAGACTTTCTAATTATGAAGCAGGTTTCGACAAGTAAATATCAAAAGCACATTCCGCTGTCCATAAAAAAGATTTGAAATTAGTCTGTAATCTGCTATCAAATCTGGATCGTTTTTTTCAGAAGGGGGTCTAATTACTGCGGTTTTGAAGGCTTGTGGAAAATAGCCACTCTACAGAAGTGTTTTTCCTATTTAAGATCTCTATTATTAAGGGGGGAGTGTCTTTGAAGAGCCGAGCGGGGATTCGGTCTAAATTGCAACTTTCCACTAACTAATCATTATACATCTTTATTCTCTAAACAAATACATCATTGATTTACTTTTATATCATGATTACTCATCATTATCCAAGTCATATTGGACAAAATAGGACATAAAGTAATCAGGGATAATGCGTATCCCCATGTATTTAGATATCACACTCAGCTGCACAGCGCCTCACACAAATCCTCACCTGCAGCAATCAGGCACTGCCCGCATCAGCTTCATATCACGCAGAAGCTCCATCCAAGCAGCAGCTTCATTCACGTCGCAACCCTCCTCCTCCCCATCTCCACCTTGTTCCAGGCCACCTCCTTCATCCTTCTCCTAGCTACCACCACCAGGGTCTAGGCCCCGGGATTTCATCTCATAATCTCTTTCCCCTTCTGCAATCGTGCAGTGCTCTGCCGGGGTCTAAGCGCCAAATCCCAACCACATTCTGTTCAGCACAATACATGTAATCTTGAAAATATTGTTTTTAGTGTCTTTATGTGTAATTCATGCAGTGTCAGATTACCTGCCAACCAACATACAATTCTAATACCATGTTTTGCCTGTTCGAGTCTCTCCAGATTGAAATATAAGAATGAATGATTGACTCTTTATTGGTGGCAATAGTTTAGTTTTGTCAGGGCTATGTATTTTGTGGACCCACCAAGCAGTCTGATCTCAAAATGCATTGCAATAAGTGATTGACCAATGTGTTTACTTGCATATTGCTTTATTCCTTACATTTGTATAAAGCTTCTTTGATTAAATGTGGAAGTTTTTATTTTCTAAGGAAAGGACTTATTTGCTGCCAGTGCCTGGAGGGTTTGTCTATAACAAAACGTTTCCTCAAATATAAACAGCAAGTTGGAGGCAGTGGAAATCTTTAAGTGACTAGTAATTTGATTTTATCCTGTTTTTTGAAGCCAGACGAGTGCTGGGGTGTTCAGCGGGATGCAAGCTGTTGATAAGCTAAGTGGGTTTAAGAAAACTCAAAGAAATAAGTCACTTGGTAAATAACAGCAGATGTTAGGCGATATGTGGGAAGAAAATGGCACAAATCCTTAAGATGTTGTTTTCTTTGCATTTTGTATTATATACCTTGGGGGTACAAATGCCTGATTTAAGTTGTTCACATGCAGGATTATACAAATCATAGAACATGTTATTTACAAATATAGCTTGTTTGTGAAGCCACTTTAATGTTCTGTGTTTTTTTTTGTGTTTACTTTGGCAAAATTGGCAGAGAAAGGGACCGATTGAGCGAGAGAAATGGAAGGGATACAGATAAAAAGACTGATTTAATGCTGGGGACCTTTACATAGTTATTTATTTGAAAGTCTGAGACACAATAACTGACTTCCACTGCGCAGACTGGATGCAGTGTGGCAACAGATTTGGATAGATGTCCAAGGAAACAGACGCTGACTTGTATTTGTGATTTTATCCAAATGAAGTGTACTGCTATTAAAGTTAATTTTATCTGAAATATGGCAACCTCAGCTAAATAAATTGGACAGTGCTTTTTTCAGGCACACACAGTAAGTAGGCAGCAGTGGGTTGGTGTTAGGATTAGGGTTAGTGAAGCAGTAATACATTTTTGTGTCTAGTTGAGTTCTATCATTCATAATCAGTTGACCCTGACTCAACACGTGGTAAGTATTGTACCGTGTGAAGGCATATCTTTCCATTCAGACACTGACATCTCCATAGACGTCCTTTTGTCTTATCTTTGCTGCACTTAATGGGTTTTGAAGACGTTCTCATCCACTGGTTAATGTATCTATTAGTATTAGATAGCAATATGGCCTACGTGCAGGACTGTACAAGGACTCTACAAGGACTCCATGTTATGACTATGATGTGACTGTCTCTTTGTGACACGTATGTCTTTCCATGTGTGACGTGACAATGACTATATAAACTGTGTACTGCCTTTATTCTGTCTGAGAGAAAGAAACAAAGTAAACCAGTGGAACTTGAGAGAAACTTAAATAAACTTCCAGAGTTTGGCACACCAAAAAAAAAAAAAAAAAAAAAAAAAACTTTACAAAATTATTAAAAAACAAAGAAAATGTATGCATTAAACTCATAATCATCCAATCAATATCAGTGGATTTTATCCTCTATCCTGGGAAAAAATAAACAAACAAAAATAAATCAAAAATAAAAACAAACAAACACTATTGGACACACAAGAACTCAGCAGATTCAGTCAAAACACAGACAAAAACGAGCTGAGTCTCAAATTAGAAGCTAATTTCACTTTTATTACTCTATACTTTTATTCTAATGCTAATTGTTTACACTACACTTCACTTATTTCACTGTATTATTTTCACTTTTTAATCTTAGACTGTGTACTTTACTTTTACTATTCACTATAGTTTAAAACTATTCTAATCTATTTACAAATATGTTTGCATATTTGCTTCTATTGAGCCATATTCTTAAACATACATTTTAATCTAATACATCTCTCTGTGGTATTATACTCTCATTATCAGTTTGGAATGAATGTACATCTTTAATCAAATTGGAACTATCCTTACAAGAGCTAATCTATTTGAGCAGGTTTGGGGTTGGGGTCAGTTATTCTACAATGGTGTTTGTGCTGGAAACTTCTCAATATCTATATATCTACTATTGTGTTTTTGTGCTATACACAAATACATCAAAATGCTTTTGAATCTCTGTTGGTTGTAATCTATCTCATTAATCTAGGCATTAATCTAGACTACACTCATATGGACTTTTGCATTGTCAACATTCACTCATGTTTGAACACAAGTGAATTTGGAAGGTATCTAATAAAACTGTACATAAAACTGTAAGTAACTTTATCTACTTCTGAAGTAAATGCTTGTAAAATGGTCCCTTTACCATTTGATATTAGCACTGGCTACATATAATCTCTATTTTTGAAAGCATCTGTGGTTAATGCATTTATCTATCTCTATTTTTACACTATTGTGACTCCAAAGTTTGGCTGCAGTTTGAGCAAAGCATATTCCTAATTTGTGACTTCTGTCACTTTTAATATCTCTAAAATACTCTGATTCTAATATTATAGCTGATCTATCAAAAGGATAACATTGTAGGGTACTATTTTAACTCTTATGTGGAAATGTGTTTATGAAAAACAAAGGAAGTCAAATTCTACTCTTTTACTACTATTTAACATCTACTAAAACGCTACAATACTTATACTTTATCATTTTCAAAGTTTTTGTCTGTCAGATGTCTGAATACTTAACATGTATATTGCATTTGTTCACAGTTTCTGGTTGTAGCAATAGCATCGGCAATAGACGATTTTCATTGGCTGGTTCTTGTTCTGCAAATGGCTGTGTCCAATAGATCATCAGATGTCCAGAAGCTAGGGACAAACAAAAACAAAAGAAAGAATCATGAGTATCTCTCTCATTTAGCACTCATCAATGTATGATTTCAATAATATAAACATCACTCCCCAGTTTTCTCTCTCAGGTCCTCAGATCCTCAGATCCTCAGATCCTCAGATCCCCAGGTCCTCAGGGTCCTCAGGTCCTCAGATCCTCAGGGTCCCCTGAGGGTGAGTCTCAGTCGTCATCAGGTCAGGTCATATTTCGAGAGATGTCATCTTGGTCATCAGTAGGGTCCAAGCCATGGTTTTGGTCTCTCCAGATGCACATCAGGATCTCCAGATACAGTCTTTTCACTTGAAGCACATCAGGTCATTTGCGATGCACTTCTGGTCAATGGTGCAGTATCTCAGTTCCTGTACACAGCTTGTAATGCAGTAGTTACTCTCTATGGTTAAATCACTTTGATTCTACTTTAACACAATTTCTATTCATGCTGTTGCTAATGTCCCTCAGACAAAAAGCAAGCGCAATGATTCAGTTTACTTCTCTAATTTGTGTTTTTATCAGATCTAATTCTAATCAATGTAATTACTTCACACAGTACAAAATCAACAAATCAAAAGTGTCAGGACAGAGGTCAATTATGTCCATGACAATATAGAATTCAAATGAACATTTCTGGTCTCAAAAAATACTGATTCAAGTGATAGACAATTAAAAATATTTGTTCACGTTGGAGTAAACTTTTAAAATGCTTTTTTCTCATGTTCTGCTTTTTCATGTATCTATATGTAAATGTGAATGTGTGAGTGTATGTGTGTGTATGTGTGTGTGTGTGTGTATGTGAATTTTGGGGTTGTGTCTCCAGACTCCTCGAACCACCTGCAGGTGTCAAAGGTCACACTGTGGTGATGCAAACCAACTGGACACACTTTCAACTGCCTCTAGGTCTCTACCTGACGCTCCACCCATCACGTCTCCAGATACCTCTCTTTTATGGCCCCGGTCTCTCTCACACCCACTCAGCTCTGCAGTGGCGTGGGGAGGGGCAAGGAGGTGGCATTTCCCTTTGCTCTTTGATCTGTGACCTGTGGCTGGGTGGGCGTTGCGCTGTCCAGTGTCCAGCAGTGACCTCTCGTACAGTGAGGCAGAGTCTGAAAAACAATCCTTGAGACGGCCAATTTAAAAACAACAGATATG